AGGGATAACCATTTTTGGCAGTTTTGTGGAGATGCAAATTTGCACTGAGCATGAGATGAGAGTTTAAATACCAACACCCAAAGAAGAGAAAAATAAGCGAGACGGTGTGACACATTTCATGTGCCGTTCTCTCTTGCTATGGGTATCAGCTGCCTTCACCAGATCTGGCTGAGGCGAAAGAGGGAAAAGATGTTCCCCTTCCTTTGGTCTCTCTGCAATTGCCTCCAAAAGAAGTAAAACCCTCTGAAATTCCTCAAGACTCAGGTTGAAGTTTCATCAGCAACTTAGTGATAAAGGCAAACAAGGGCTTTGGGATAATTTTACAAAAGTGTCCCTAATGTTTGCATGTTATTACTTTTTCATTTTCAATTCCTTTCCTCCTGGTGAAATGAACTGGTTGCTGGCCAATGGTCAGTGATCAAGCTGCTGACCTAGGAGGAAGAAATGGTTTTGGTGCTCTGAAAAGGTTGCCAGTGAGAGATGGGAGGAGGGGAAACTTGAATTAGCAAGAACAGAAGGCTTCTGCCATTCTCCATAGTTCAGCTATTTCTCAGCCTTTCTTAAGCAAAAAAAGAAAAAAATCTCTTCACTTTTGGCATCAGTAAGTAGAATAGCCTGCCCGCCACACTTCTGGAAGCAAGCCTGTCTTTTTTAACTCCTTATTTAATTTTTATATTAAAAGTATTCCATGACAGAGAGGAAAATAAAGGAGTGCACTCCAGGGGCACAACTGCTACGTGGCTGCATTTGCGACACAAATAAGCCTTTTAAAGGGTCCCCGGAAGCGTTAGGCCAGTGCACGTTGCATCTGAACACCATTTTCTGTCTTCAGTCTTCCCCCACATACCTGAAATTCTTCTTGCCCTCTTGGCAGCGCAGGTTCGTGGGCAGGCAAGCAGAGCGACCTTGAAGGGTGGGAATTGCCTACACTGGCACCAGCTTCTGCCCTCTCCCCTGCCCAGCGCCCTCGTTGGATCGAGGTTCCCAGAGCGCTGATTGCCTGGGATTTCCAAAGCGCCTGTGGCCGCTCGGCTCTGACTCCTACTGCCTTTTCCGTCCTTGTTCTGCCTGCTGCCTTTTCCGTCCTTGTGCACTGGGCCAGGCGGGTGGCCAGCGACAGCCCAGTGCCAGAACATCCGAACTCCGATTGCCTTCCATGATTTCTGAAGCTAACAAAGGCTGGATTCACTTTCAAAGCCTGCTGGGTGGGAGGACACCAGGGTGTTTCTTTCAGGCTGGCATTTGAAGCAAAACAGAGAAGACAGAGGGAGCTGCATTTACTCCCCTTATCTGAAGGAGGGTTGCAAGACACAGCCTTGGTGCTTGACTTACAAAGTTGAATGAGTGGTTCCTGAGGAAGCACCACATGAAACGCCCTTGCTGACAATGTGAATAGTTTTTGTGTTTTAGTCTCAAAGGATGTGTGATGCCTTTAAGATGGGTTCATATATATTACTGGGAATTTGGTAAAGAATAGTCACATTTAAAAAGACACTTTCATTAAGTTTTCTTTTTCCTCAAAATATGACCTTCACATAAAAAGCTAAGCACTACAGAAGATCACTATCCACTCCTCCTTCGGCCTGGACAGATTTCTGTTACTGTTACATACAGTATACTGCTTGTCTTGACATTTTCATCACTGGTCAAAGAAAAAAAAAAAAGAAAATAAATTATGTTTTGGTTTGCTGAAATGCAAGCTATTTCCTTATTTGGATGAAAATGAAACCCTTCTTCATATTAATTCTTACTGAGGTGAGAGCAGGGCCTTTCTCTCTAGACAGACACAAGAGTCTGCTCACACTAGGGATGGATTTTTGTTACTTTCTTTTATGAAAACTACGGCATTTCTTCTTCTTTTTTTCACATTTCTCCAAGCAAGCAAATTCCAAATTCTGACTGTGTATGAAGCCATTCTCTACTGAATAAATTCCACGCTCTGCACGGCAGCTGAACGAGTTCAGGTAGCATTATACAGGCTGTAGGATCTGGGCTGGTTATTAGGGCTCTCCTTTGCTCCTAAAGTGCAGTGGCATTGCAACTAAATTATTTTTAATACCAATCCCTTGGCCATGTATCACAGCAAGAAGTGATACAGATGCAGCATAGCATTATCCAAAGCACAAGTAGGTTTTTGTGTAGGGAAAGAGAAAAAGGTAGCTCAGTGCTTCCAAAATCAAGAGCCTACACATGGTTCTGAAAAGGCTCTCTCAGCTGCGAGAGTCACTTTGCTGGGTCTCTCTCTTCTCAGATTGTGTCATGGGTGAAAGAGAACAAGGTTTTTTTGTTTTAGTAACCTTTTCAGGCAGGATATCTGCCTTGTGTTCTACTCCTGTCTGTGTTCACAGGGCAGTGCTTGGCTGAATTGCCTCAGTGCTGCGGTGCCATCCCGGCTCACAGCTGCTTCGCAGTGTTTGCTGAGGGCTGCGGGAGGCAAAGGCAGAGCTTGGCCGACAGGCTGCCCCGCGGGCTGCAGGACCATTTCACCTGCTGCCCTCCCCGTGTACCCCAAACCTCTCCCAGCACTTGGTAGGCACAGGGACAACAAGGTCTGGGAGTGCAGTGATAAAGGAAAGAAGCAATGAGCTCCCCAGGAGAATGTACGAGAGAAATAGGTAGGCACTAGATTGCCCAAACGAGCAGCGAATAACATTAATTTGCCTTCAGCAAAAGCAAACAAAAATCATTGATGCCGGCACGAAAAGATGCCACAGAACTCATTTGCTACTGGCAGAGCCATAAAATATGAGGCAGCGAATCAAGTCACTGCTGTGCTGTGAAGCAAAACGGCCCATTACATGAATCACCCTCCAGAGGACTTCAATAGGACCCTGTAGTTATAAATCTTGGCAATATAGCTCAAGTTGCCTCTACAACACAGACGCTGGTAAAGCCAGGTCTTGGCTTCCTCAGCAGCATGTTCCATTGTATAATTTAGCTGATTATCCAAGACAGTCATTTAAAACTTTCCAAGACTATGCCTGTAATACAACATTACATAGTCAAGGCACTGCAGTTGAGAAGGTCATTAAGAAAAAAGCAAGTGCAAGCAAATGTGTGCTTTCCACAATCCTCACTTTTTTAGTAATGTGTCAATGTTACAAGATCGTATTAACAAATACCTCCTTCAAGATATATCTAATTCCTGATATTCACGATGCTTCAGGGAATTCAGCCATGCTGCTAGCTCTGCTAGAAGTGTTGCCCTAAGTGAGAGTATTTCACCTTTAGGGAAATCGAAAGCCCCCTTGAAGCTTAAAGAAAACTTAAGAGCATAAACAGAATAGGTGAGACAGAGTGGCGGGAAGAGTGAGTGTGAATAAAATTAGCAATGGGACTTTGTGGAGGCAGTGGCATGAGATGACGGTCATTCGTTTTCCTCATAAAATATTAATTCTTTCATCTGCTCCATTACAGTTGCTAAGTATAGCTGTGAACATTGATAACATTTGGGTTTTCATTCCAGTGACATCTACTTAAACATTTTTAAAATGCATTATGGAGGATGATAAAGGAAAACAACATGTATGAGGGAAAACCCAACTAGAATTTTACGTTAACGTTTCTGTTAATGCATGTTAAGATCAATCAGGAACATTTTTAAAATATCAGAAGAGCAATGCAGGCTAAAAGAAAGGAGGATGTACAGCTTCTACAAAGTGCTCAGTGATCATAATTTGATTGCAAGGCATCCTGAAGAAGAAAAACACCAGTTACGTGAAAATTCCTGTGTTGGTGGGATGGATGGGAAACAGGTACACGCTAAATTTAAAAAGAGGCGAGGTCAGAAATATGCTTCTCTGGCACTTATCTAGTCTTTACTGATATGATAACCAAATTCTTTATGATCTTTAATGCATTTATCATCTTGACAATGGTGCCAGAAAAGGGAGGCTTTCACATGTGGGATGAGTGGTTGCAAAGAGACTGTCAGAGAGATTGTAGAGGCTTTATTCAGGGCACAGGAATCTGGATGCCATGCGAACACCTTAGCCATTGCATCCTCTGCCTTTAGGAAAGGTACCCCAGGAGAAGAGCTTTTCCTCAGAAGGAGTCAAAGGAAAAAATATGCATCCCCCTCAGTATATAGTTAAAGAAACACTCCAAAAAGACTTGCACTCTGCTGATGAGAAGCTGGCTGTGTATAATCACCAAAATAATTATTTTCTTGAAGAAAGCATCTAATGATACAGCAACCAAGAAAGCAGCCACAGTGGCATCATCTACAGGGCAGAGAGCAGGCGCTCGCTTTTCTCACTGAGAACTGCCACATGTTTTGTTTCGACAGGAACCCGTATTATTGGGGTATCTGCAGCTAAGAAGAAAAATATGGGTTTGCATGCGCTTAGTTTTCCATGCATTTAACGCATATGTGTAATGCAACTTTGTGTTTTACCCTGGAAGCAGGGGATGGAGGCGCAGATAACAGATAAGCGTTTTACATGCTTCAGAAGCCAGGGAGCTGTGCTAGCAATAAGATCCTTCCCTACGGATTAGCCCCATGAGCGTTTACAGATGCCACGGCGCTAGGGAATGAAGCTACGCTCGCAATTTGGTGCCGCAAGGTGACACTCGGCTGTTCCTCCTCAGCTCACTAGAAACAGCCTTGAGGCCACCTGTGGCCTAAAGACGTTGGGGAAGACCCAGCCTGGGCCAAAAGACGAGAACTCATTCGCAGGCCACCCCGGCGAGCTGGAGTGTGGCCCGTCCCGCGCACAGGGCTTCCCTGCGCGGCCGCGACATTAACTGCGGTCCCCTAAGGGCGACACCCGCCAACGGCCGCTCCGCTGAGGCAACGGCCGCAGCCTGCGGGGCGGGGCCGCGGCGGAGGGGGCGGGCCCCGCGCGCCCTCCCTGGCCAATGGGAGGGGCGCCATGCAAATGAGCGGGCAGCCTGGCGGCGGGGCGGGCGGCGCGGCGGGCAGAGGCGGCGGGTGGGTGGCGCTGAGCGGATCGGGGCCGCGCAGCGCGGGGCTGCGCGCGGGGGGCGAGCGCAGCGCCCCGCACCGCACCGCACCGCAGCCATGAAGTACAAGGTAACGGCGGCGCCGGGGGGCGGCAGGGGGCTCCGGGGCTGTCCCGCTGCGGGTGGAACGAGGGCTTCCCGCAGCGGGAGCCGTTAACGGTTGAGCTGGCGCGGCGCGCGCGCGCCTGCCCCGCTCTCGCTGCTGCGGCGCCGGGCTCGGGTAAGGGGAGGCTGCCAGCGGGCAGGAGGAGGCCGCAAGCGGAGATAGGCTGGGGAGGCAGAGCTCGGGCCCGGGTGCTCGGCGGCCGTTGCGCGCCGAGGGAGAAGGGGCTTTTCCCGGCCCGCCGCCGGAGGCTCCCAGGGAAAGGCGCTTCCCTGAGCCTGCATGGGCGTCTGTATCCAGCACCGCCTCGGGACGCTCATTGCTGCTTCTGCCTGTGGCGTGCTCATCCGGTTTTCTTCCAAATCTTTATGAAGAGCGTTTTGTTGTTACCCCTTTGCAGTCTGTTTTGACAGGCTGAAAGCAAAAAAAATGGGCTGTATATTTTAAAATGAACACTATGTCCCCCCTGCCTATCCTGAATAAAGGCAATGATTTAGCTTAGCCCTTTACCAGACTCTGTTTCAGAAGATGCAAATGTGGAGGTTTCCCTCATAATGCTGCTCTACTTAAAAACATCTGGGCAAGGTACTGGCTTGCCTACAGGGCATTAGATTACTGTGCAGACATACCGTAATCTGCTGTGATTGGAAAAAAAGGGGGAGAGAAGGAAAGCTTTGCTTTCCCTGCCAAAAATAACTTCAGCATCAATAAAAAGGTGATTTAGAAATGTCACACACATTACACGCGTTTGCTTGGAGACTGACTTGCTTTGGAAGCAAAGTCCATCTTTTTATTAAGTTTGGGCAGGGGGTAGTGTAAAGGAGCCCGGATTCTGCGGTGTCGAGCAAGGCGTACAGACCTCGGTGGAGTGGGACGTCTGGGTGCTGCCCAGACAAATACATCCTTATTCTGTATCCCTGAGCTTGGCCCGAGCTTTCAGGAGCTCTCTCCCAAACTTCGGGAAACCTTGGAGTCAGTTTTCTAGGCTACTGCCAGTTTCACCATTTCTTGATGATTAGAAGTGACCAAGGAAAGGAGAATTGTATAAATAAGATGCAGATAGAGAAAGATACTCAGTGACCTGGGAAATTTTGATCTGGATCTGCTTGTTTTTGTTTTTTTTTTTTTTTTTAATAACTGCCTGATTAGAAGCCTGTGATCAAATTCACCATCTGTCCCGTTCCACCTCTCCTCCCTGCCCGTTTTACCAGAAAATACTGGGCAGTTGGGAGTAAAAGAGCAGAAAGCGCCGCGGTTAGTCCCGAGCTCAGGAAATGCTTCCCAGCTGCCCGTGCCTAAGCAGCACCAGTGTCTTGGTGGCAAAGCGGGGCTCCTGCTTGGTTATTACGGAACGGTTGAGGTTGGAAGGGACCTCTGGAGATGGTCTAGGCCAACCCCCCTGCTCCAGCAGGGACGCCTAGAGATTACTGAGCCCCGTGGCTTTGTGTCACCCTGCATCCTTGCCGCGCGGCCGCGGGGCGCCGCGGGAGCGGCACGCGGAGAGGCGGCCGGCTCCGCTCGCTGGGACGCCGGCCCCGCGCTCCAGCGGCTCCTCTGCCCCCGCGGCCTGGAAGGAGCCCTTTGGTTCGGGGAGGTGGCTACGTAATTCTAGACGGCGCGAGCGAGACAAAGGAAGAGCGAGCCATAAAGAGGGAGGACTCGGTCTTTTTGGCCTCAAAAACCTTCTTGTCAGACTGGGGTGTTTACTTTCCCTGGGAAATGTGAAGTAGATACTTTGTGCTGTTTAACTAGGACAAACATCCTTTGATCTATTTCTTATCCCTAGAGTAACATACGTGCTCTAAAATACGTACTCTTTCAGCCTTTGCTGTTTTCTTTCTATAAGAGAACAAATTCCTATACTTTGGCTCCTCATTTTCTGCATATGATGAAGAGTGTACTAATGTCTTGCCTGGGAAAATACCCTCACTTCAGGGATGCGTTGGCTTCCAAGTGAACAGTTGGGTCTCCTCAGCTATTCCAGGTATTCTCCAGGCATTATTATTTTGGGGCCTTTTATCCTTTGCTTCATTGTGACACTCCATAAGATAAGTCCCGTTTAATAGCCCGCTTAAGATGCGCTCTGCCATCCAAGGAGAGCACTAGCACTGGCTGTACTGGGGCCTGACTCGTGTGTTGGGCCCTTGGTACCTCTCTCTTGCTCCTGACTTCACTGTCAGTGGCTCAACACAAGGTTGCTGCTGGTTTGCAGTTCCTTTCTGCTGCTTAGTTCCGTATTTCTTCTTCTTTTCACTCATAAACCTCTCGGAAAATTTGTTCCCTCTCCCTATTCTTCTTTGACCTGGATTTCTTTAGGACCTTTAATTCTCTATCCCATTTTTGAATATACTTCTTACATAAGACCTTAGTGCCTTCAAAACCAGTGGGACAGTCCACATGGATTTCAGTGGATTCAGAATTTCACTTTACTGCAGTTGTATTTTACCAGTTCCCATCGTGTCCTCATGGGGTTGCTGTTCTAGTAGTCTGTATTTCAGAAGGTCAAACAACCATTTCTGAAAACAAACCTAGACTTGGATTCCAAGGATGAAGCAGCTACAGCTGAAATGTATCCTAATATGAACAGAAATGTCAAGGGGATTACCATGATCAGACAAGAACATCGCTGCGAGAGAACCTCTCTGGTCAATGATTCCCATCGCCTTCTATCTTGGACAACAAAAGTGTGACAGAAGAAAAAGGAGGGGGCACTTCTGTACCAAGGCTTTTGTGGTTTGTTGGCTGTTCACAGGCAAGGTGAAAAAGAGAGGGGTAGGAGAAAGGGGGACTTATCTTTTGACTGAAAGATCCAAAGAGTTGGTGAAAGAGAAGAGAAAATGAACAACTGCATTCCTTGCCTCCCCTCTGCCAAGGGGAATGACGTAGATGTAAAATACGAGGTCTTGATGATCTATTTTTAGGTAATTTGTTGGGCAAGGAAGAAACCAAAGTAAACAGGGTTTGAAATGTTTGCCATTTGTGCTAAGGCGCAGTGCTGTAATATATAGACTTGATTACAATGCCTGCTTGCCAAGACAAACAAAATAGTGTCACTGGGAAGGAATACTATATTCCGACCAGAAATGCTTGTGTGAAAAGCTGCTTGTAGCCCTGGCAATGAAAGACTTCAAGTATTGGGCCATGTAAAGGGAAAAGAACTGCCTGCACTTTACTAACCAAGTCCTTTCTGCTGTGTTTACTCCTCACTCTCCTCTGTCACTGTGTGATTGCTGAGATAGTAAGAAGGAAAACAATGAAACCTAAAAGTAAATAGGAACAGTAAAACCTTGTAAAAGATAGCATGAGAGCAACAAACCAGCCAAGTGAAAACTGCCCAAGCTTGTGCCTTGTTACAGCCATGGGTGTGTGATGGCAGCTTCATGATTTTGCTCTTTTCCCTCTTTTTCTATGGAGGGAGATGGCAGGAGGGGAGCAGTGCCAGGCTTAATCGCAGTTATCAGGAGCAGCACTAGTGAGAAGCTAAGCTAGGACTGGCCCCTTCCCAAAGCTTGGAGGGCCACTGTCCCTCGCACACTCGTGCATACTCCCCCCAGTACGCGCACATACTACTCTCATGCCTGATATTTTCCTCAACACCTCCAAGTTTTGGAGAAATTGTCATGATACAATGTATTTGCCCTCTTAAAGGCTTTGCAAGGTAGCACGGCGCTCTTGGTTCCATTTTACAAATGTGAGTGCTAAGGCTGCCCCAAGATTGCTCTCAGAGGAAGGAGAGGAACTGGGTAGCATGCAGCTTTTTGCATCGTCTCTAAACTTCTGTGGGTTGCTTGTTTGTTTCTTTGCTTTTTGTGCTAATAGCTGCTCATGAGTAACACAGACGTCTCTGTGCAGTAGTACCTAGTATAAGATGGGGAAGCAGAACTGGCGCATGAACAATCTTCCTTTTATTTGTGATACTTCCGTTTCAGTTTGACCCCAGGAAGTACTCGAGACACAGAATGGTTTTACTCTGTGGGCTTTACTTACAGTTTTGAAATTCTGCTGAAGAGTGCAGTCACATTAGACTATTATTTTGCCTTGAGGCCCCTTCACCCACTGCTAATCATTCCAAACAGTGCCATGCTATCCAAGATTGATTGGAGGGGCACAGTCAGTTCAGAGCACAGCAGAACTGCCTAGCACACTGTATGGAAACATGCTCAGAAAATGAAAGATTCGAGTGCATGAGGAGAGAGTTCTGCAGTGCGTTAAGCCACTGATGACCATTTTGCAGAAGTCAGACCAGCCCTTTGGGGGAAATTTCATGGGTTGTTACCATGGGGTGGTTAACAACTGCTGGACCAGGCTTCTCAGGATCACGTACAGAAATGCCTGAGCGCTCCTGTAACAATCGGGGTTAGGAAAGGTTATCCTTGGGCTTATCACCGAATATCCTTGCTGTCTTATCACCGAACGTTGAGCTCCTGCGTGTGCTGGCTCACGAGGAGTTTATATTGCTGTAGTTCGCAGTAGCATTCTAAATTCCAGAGTTATGGCAGTAAAGCCAGGTGTGACTGGTGACCTAGGTAGATAAAAGCCCAGGAGAGGGGGAATTTCTGCTTAGTTGTGCACACCTCCACGTTCCCCCGCTGGAGCTGCTTTGGCCAGCTTTAGAAACAGCAGGAGATGAGAGCCCTGTTTTTCTCCTTGCAAATTGCTGGCACTCCTGCCAGTGCAAGGAAGAGAAGGACATTCCCTCACTGTCTGCAAGGAGCAAACAGCCATGTGTCTCTGTACATACATGAAGCAGAAAAACGTGACCTTGTCATATTCTATTATCAAAGATGTTAGGAGCATGGGAATGAGTTCTGCATACAACAGATGCACCAAGGTCCCTGAAGACTTAAGTTTTTGTTTTGTTTAGTTCCTTGAGATTTGTGTATTACAGACATCTAGACACTTAGATCTTGTTGATACCAAGAAAAGTCAGGCACCTGTGTGGCTCTGAGATCTACCGTTTAATTTCA